CAGCCTCTCCAACTTCCCATTTCTCCTGACAGCCCTGGGCAATCTAGCCTCCGCCTGCAGCAGCTCCAGAACCTAGCAGCAGCCCAGCCCCCCTTCCACTCTGACCACAAGCCCTCCTTCTGTGCTACAGTCTACTCCCCGGGTATAGTCACACCCAAAGGACAGAAGAGCAGAGGCCATGCAAAAGCCCTGAGGTGTTATTGCTCCAACACAAAGGAGGCTGGTGGGGCTGAGGGCGGGTGGTTACTGGGATGGGGCTTATTGAAATGCACTTGGACACCACACAGGGCTTGGCAGGGCCTAAGAATGGAGTCTTATTATTATTTTACTAGGCTCAAATATCCCTTACAAAGCTTCCTGCTTAGCATTACACTTCCCTTTCCCTTCACTTCCAGGAACATTTATCTACCTTAGTGCTTGCCCCAATCAGTCTTCCCAACTATAAAAGGGGCCAATAGCAGCAGCAGCAACCTTACAAGGCTGTTTCAAGGATTAAACCAACAAAATAACCCACCATGCAGTGTCCAGTAATGCCAGCTGTTATTAGCTGTGTCCCCTTCTGTCCGTCCACCTACCCCTTGCCAGACTATACACTTCCTGACAGTAACAAACATCTTATGCCTTTCACCATCTCCCAAACCTTGTGATTTCATAATAGGCGGTACATACAGGGGGCTCCCCTGGTGCCATCACAGCATCACCTGATCGCACCCAGACAGTAACTTCTCATGTAACCCTCACCTTGGCCACAGCACTGCAGCTCTTGAGAACAGTTCCATGGTGGGGCTGCCCTGTGCATTATATGATGTTGAGTAGCACCCTCTGCAACCACTAGACCAGCGGTTCTCCACCTGTGGGTCGCGACCCCTTTGGGATCGAACGACTCTTTCACAGGGGTCGCCAAAGACCATCCGAAAACACATATATGATTACATATTGTTTTTGTGATTAATCGCTATGCTTTACTTATGTTCAATTTATAACAATGAAAATACATCCTGCATATCAGATATTTACATGACGATTCGTAACAGTAGCAAAATTACAGTTATGAAGTAGCAACGAAAATAATTTTATGGTTGGGGTCACCATAACATGAGGAACTGTATTAAAAGGGTTGCGGCATTAGGAAGGTTGAGAACCACTGCACTAGAGCTAGTAGCACTGCCAGACCAGCTGTGACAACAAAAAATGTCATCAGGTATTTCCCAAGTATCCCCTGAGGGGGCAGAATTGCCCCTGGTGGAGAACCACTGATATAGGTATGCCTGCTTGTTCCCACTTTATCAGATGAGGAAACAAAGGGCGCAGAGGTCAAGACTTTTGCCCAAGGGTTTCAAGGCCAAGCCAGGTGGTGCAGGGTAGTGCTAACTCTCTCCACTACAGTATGTTAGTTCATCCTAACCCTCCCTGTACTTCAGTCATGACAGAGTCATGGTCCTCACAGACACTCTTGGGTCTCTGAGGACGCTGAGACCTTCACCGAGGAGACAACAGGGGAGAAGGGACAATGACCACAGTCAGGCACTGGACACAAGACAGGCACCTGCCCAGTTCCACCTCATGGCCTCTGTGGTTCAAAGGGCTGGGGGGGGGGGGGGGGGACAGGGGATGCCATTCTCAGGAGAGGGGACCCAGGATCAGAGGCAGGAAGGTGGGTCTGCTTGCCCATGGTAGGCATGAGAAAATTCAAAATGTGCAAAAATGGGCACCCAGGAAAGTGGTCAGGGGTAATGAGGATGACAGAGGACCCAACAGAGGCTCCTGGGAAGCCCCACAATCCTTTACCCAGTTCACCTCCATGATTTCAAGACCGGGCAGCTCACCATAATCTCAAATATAGTAATCCCCACTTCAGCTGGCATGCCACCTTCTCCATCAGGAGCTTTGGCAACGGCACTGATGAATTCCCAGTCAGACCTCACCACACCAAACCCCAATCCTCCCTGTTGACCCCAACAGTGAGCCCAGCAAAGCCAATCAAAGCTCTCATCTTCTCACAGCCTTGCTCAAGAACCTACTGGGGCTGTCCAGTGCCTGGCCCTGGCCAAGGCCGGGGATGCAGGCCAAGGGGGTCTGGACTTGCATCTGGTGTGACGGGGAGACCCAGAAGACCCTGAGGCTGGGTGCTTCTTTTATGTAAATGGGACTAAGGGTCTATCTGTACATTAGGGTCACCCCTTGCTCCTTCCTCATGAAGATATTCAGAGCACTTGGCAGGAGCCTGGCACATGCTTAATGAAGACTCTCAATGGGCTGTCCGTCTGCCTAGAACATTTGCCCCTCCTTGCCCCAGCCAACTCCCCGCCCCCCCCCCCCCGGCTGATTTATTTCTTATTATCTAAGGTTCAGATCTCCCCAAAGTCTTCCCTGACCATCCTATCTAAAGCTCTTCACCCCCCTGCCCCACAGCACTCACTCATTTCCCCTTGTCTCACTACGTTCATGAATGCAGGGATAGCAGGAATGCTCTTGGTCGTTTGTTTGTTGGGTCACCTTCACTAGAATAAAAGTTGCTGAGAGAGGCTCTAGGATCTGCTACTCAGGGCTGCTCCCCTAGTCCCTCGCAGGGGGTTGGCATCCTAGTGAGATAAAACTGCCCCATGGCCGCCGTCCGCCACCCTACCCCAGATTATGGCCTCCTCTAGCGCCCTAGGTCCTCACAGAAAAGCAGTTAGTTATTAAACGTGCCTTCTACAGCTCCAGGTGCAGGCATAAACCCACCACCCACACACCAAGGCCAACTGAGACCCAATCTCTGCCCCTGTTCCAACTGTGTCAGTCAAGGTAACCACCCCTGTCCTCAGTACCCAGAGCCCTGCCAAGGCCCAGGAGGCCCCAGCCTCAGCCCAACCAGGCAGGGGAAAGGCCTCTTTACGTGGGGCTGCTGGCCCAGGTGCTACCCCTCCCAGAACCCGGAGGCGAGCCACAAGATGGGAGGAGGCCAGGGCCCAAATAGAAGGCCGTTCTAGGAATGATGGGGATACTGGGGGAAGGGAAGGAATGAGGGTGACAACCCATCATTAAACCCAGATCTGGCTGATACCAATCGCCCCAGCAGTCGGTAGCTTCTGCTCCAGGTGCGAGGCTCCCAAGTCAGTGTTCTCGGGACACACCGGTAACAGCTTTGCAATTAGCGCCAAGAAAAGGAACAAAAGCTGGGGTGGTCTGACCCGGGACCAACGTGGGGAAAAAGACAAACCAGGAAAGCAAAGCAAAATTCAGCTCCACAGCCCAGCCCCGTCCTCATAACCGCCTCCCCCTGGCAGTCCACAGCTCCATCACCTCTAACCTCTTGGCTCCCGCATGGGGCATGGGGGATGAGAAAGACTGGAGTCTGAGAAAGCTTTCACTTTCCCAGCCCCCTGGGACACCATGAAAACTGTACGAAAGGGTACTGACCCATCCCCTGGGATGGCAAGAAGAAAGAATTTTTGAGGAGGAATCTGGAAGACTGGGGAGCTCCTCCAGTCATGACCCTCAAAGGCCAGCTTGGGGGATTATGGGTTTGGGCTCTAGTCACATGACCTGGGATAAACCACCCCAAGGCCTAAGCTGACCTGGTTGGTGGTGAGCAATGAATGAGCTCATGTGACCAGCAGGGGCCTGGTCCGGACATCACCCTAGAAGCAGAGCCCCGGGGGTCAGTAACCCCAAGGGCCTGGGCTAGGGTGCCTGACTTGATCCCCTTCTTGGTGACGGGACCTGCCCGTTACCCCATCATAAACCTCCAAGACACAATGAACAAAACTTTATACACTCACCTCCCAGTTCACCTTCAGGGAGCTAGTGCCCGGGAAGCCACCGTCTAAGGTGGTGGTTGGGGGCCCAGCCTCCAGGTTTGAGCCTCAAGGCTCCGGTCACAATCGGGCGGGGAGAGATTCTAGGAACCTCGGATGCTCAGGTAAGGCCACCGAGGCCGCCTCCCTGCAGGTACAGGGGGTGGGGGTGTGCAAGGGCCACCCCCATGGTAAACAAGATGCCCGAGCTAGGTGTTCCCAAGCTGCCCACACCAACACCCACCTGGCAGAGGCTTGCCCCAGGGTAGGTCGGGGACCCAGAGCCGGATGGGAGTGAGGTGTGTGTGTGTGGGGGGAAGAGTCCCCCCCATTTGGCCCAGAGCTAACTTCTGGCCGGGAAAGGGGGTACATCTTGGCATGGCACGTGCCTCTCGGTCAGCACTAGTTCTCGGACCTGCCTCCACATCCCCACTAGCCTAGCCCCAAAGCTCCGCCTCCTCCCCGACTCCCCAACTCCTCCAGGAGTCCCCCAACTTACCCGATCTCCCCGGGACCTGGCCTCTCCCCCGCAACATCTCTCCAGCCCTCACCCCAGGTGACTCCGCCAGCACCTCGGGGCTCTGCGACCCGCCGGCTCCCCGCAACCCCCCACCCCCAACCCCCATTCCGAACTCGCCCCGCCCACGCCCACCAGCCCCACTTCCTGGGCTTCTCCTCGGCCGCCCCCGAGCCTGTAACCTGACCCACCCACCTCCGCCCGCGACCGTACCTGCCCGCCCGGCCACGCCCCGACCCCCTCCGGGCCATTTCCCTCCGGCGGCGCCGCCCGCCCCTCCTCCCCGCACTCGGCCGGCCCCCGAGCCCGACTCCTCTTCCCCTCCCCCTCCGGGCTCCCGGGAGCCTTCTCACTTCATCCCTCGGGCCCTGCAACTTCCCCGCCGCCCCTCCCCCCGCACCTGCCCGGCCCGGCCCGGCCCCCCATCCCCCGCCGGGAAGGAGGGGAGGAGGTCTGGGCCCAATCCCGCCGTCCCCCAAGCCCCGCGGCCCGGCCTGGGGCTGGACACTCCAGGCCGCGGGCGGGGGCCAGGTCACCCCGCACTCGCCGGCCCAGCCTGAAGTGCAGGCTGCGGGCCCGGTTCCTCCTCTCTCCGAGGAGGCCGCCCCGAGCCCTCCCCGTTCGGGCCGGAGCCGGACCTCGGCTGCCCTCGGGCCGCCCCGGCGAGAGGAGGCCGGAACCGGGCCTGGAGCGGGTCGCCTCACCTGCGCCGTGGCCGCGCTCCGGGGGCTCCTGGCGGGCTCCGCAGCGGCAGCTGGGGCCGGACCTGGGCCCGGGGCGCACCCCCCTGCGCCGGGGCCTCGGCCTCCGCCTCCGCGGCCTCCGCGGCCTCCGCCTCAGAAGCAGCGGCAGCCGCGGCGGCCATTCATTGTGGGCCAGGCCGCCCCAGCCGAGCGCCGAACCAGCGCAAGCCCCGCCGCCGCAGCCGGGCTGGGGAGGAGCCGCCTAGGCCCCGCCCCCGCCCCGCCCCCTAGGCGAGGGCAGCCGAGCACCGAAGGCGCCCCTTCCGGTCTCCGCCTCCAGGACCTCGGCTGTGCTTGAGAGTTCGAATCCCGACCCTGCCACCTTCTAGTCCCGCGACCCGGAGCAAGTCGCTCTGCCTCTCAGAACTTTAGTTTCCTGTCAAACGCAAATAATAACAGTGTCTGCTGTTCATTGTGCCAGGCACTGTTTTAGGGTCTTTCTGTGAATGATCTCATTCCAATTTTAGTTTATATGCTGCTGAAGAGAGCACAAGTGAAAGGTCTCGTTTAAACGTGCCAGTAACATTCTTACGTAGGAATTATTTCACACACACACACTTTATAGAAAAGGGAGGCACAGATAGAGAAAGAAAATGGCTAAAGGAAGTGATGGCGGGTGTCAGGCTTCAAGCCCAGGGTCCAGAAGCCACAATAAAACACACTAGGTCAGATGACTAGTTATAAGCACTTTATCTGCACTCACTTGTTTCATGCTCATCACAAACCAATAATGAACCTTGAAAAGTTCTGCCCATTTTGCAAATGGGGGAAACGTAAGCACAGAGAGGGGTTAAGAACCAGTAGCAAAGGGAGCTGGGACTGGGAGCCCAGACAGCCCGGACCATTACCCTGTCCTCCTTTCTTGTTGAGGGTTACGTGAAAGAGACTTCCTTGCATACTTTCGGGGTGTTGTCTTGTAATCTTTGCTCTATCTTGGGAGCTAGGACTCTTATTTAACATGGAAGGAAAGTGAGGTCCAGAGAGTTTAAGTAACTTGCCAAGACCATGTGGTCGGGCTACGATTCAAACTCAGTAAATCTGATTCCAAAGCCTGAGCTATTCTTGCAGGATGCCCCGAAATAATGTGTTTATGGCACCCAGAATCCAGGAGACGATCGATAGGCGTAGGATTGCTTCGCGTACCGCCCTTTTTCTGAGCGTCAACTTCCTCATCTGTGAAGTGGGCTGGTGAGGTGCGGCCTTAATTACAGGAGAACCGCTGTGATCAAGGCCTTGGACACCACGCGTTCTGCGCTTTCCATGGTGCATTTTGACCCCGGCCGCCCACGGTAGGTGGCATCACTGATTGGCCAGATTCTGCCACATGACCCGCCCCCAGCTGTGCCAACATGGCGGCGCCCAGGTCTTCATCCGGAAAATGTGACCGAGCCTAATTCGGTTCTCCGTTTCGCGAGAGCAGGTGAGGAGCGCCCGGGCGGCGAGGGGAGGGATCTGGTGCCGGGGCGGACCCACTTACGGGCTTCAGGCTGCGCTGGGGCGGGTCTCCAGAAGATGGGCGATGGCGTCAGCTCACGGATGCCACGGGCTCTCCTGAGCCTCTGTTTTGCAGATGTGTAGGCCCCCCGGCCCAGGAAAGCAGCTCTCTCCTCCCCTCTGCGCCCTCCTGATGCAGGCCGGGCGGGCACAGGCCGCCGCGGATGTCCCATGCGAGGGCCGTTCTGCGGTTCACCCTGAGTCTCCGCTCCGCCGGCCGTCTGTGTAGTGCTCGGTTTATGGAGGGGCCGCCCCACCGGCCGGTAAGTCCGCCCGCCATGGAGAACGGCACGGCGCCCTGCGGCGAAAAGCGCCCACCTGACACCCAGGAGACGACGGTCACCGAGGGGTCCGCCAAGATCGCCTTCCCCAGCGCCAACGAAGTCTTCTACAACCCAGTGCAGGAGTTCAACCGGGACCTGACGTGAGCAGGGGTCCGGGTCAGCTTGGCGGAGGGCAGTGGGTATGTGTGTGGTGAGGTGGTGTGAACCGGCACTCCGTCTCCCGCAGATGTGCTGTGATCACTGAGTTTGCGCGCATTCGTCTTGGGGCGAAAGGAATCCAGAGTAAGTGAAGGTCCAGTGGCCTGGTGGGTGGTGGTCACACGGAGGTCTCCCCCTGTCCAGCCCCCTCCTTCCCTAAAGTCTGGAAACGCCCCGGGCTCTGCTCCTTCAGCCTTTTCTTAGGGACTTTGGGGAAGATTTTCTTTCATGAATCTTCCGTATTTCGAAGAGTAAGAGGTTTCTCAAAGAGAGTCTTGATAGTCCCTGACTTGGGTTTCTGGGTGGCTGCAGTCAAGGTGCCAGGTGAAAAGGAGGTGCAGAAGGTGGTGGTGGACTTGTCGGAGCAAGAGCAGGACAAGGCTGTATTGAAAGAGGGGGCAGACCCGGCCCCTGGAAACCAGCCTCGAACAGCCACTGTGGGGGAGATGTGTGAGGTGAGGCCTGGGCATAAAACAGGTGGCAGCCCGGGAGTCCAGTGGGTGGAGGAAGGAAGGCTCCTGGAAGGGGAGAGCTGTAGGAGGGTGTGTGTGTGGGTGGGGGTGGGGGTGCTCAGCAGAGAATGGAGATACTGATGTGAGTGGGGCTCCCTGCTTACTCCAACAGGAAGGCCTGCGAGTGCTGGAGGGCCTGGCAGCCTCGGGTCTTCGTTCCATTCGCTTTGCCCGAGAGGTGCCTGGGCTCCGATCCGTGGTCGCTAACGATGCCTCTGCCCGAGCTGTGGATCTCATCCGCCATAATGTGCAGCTCAACGAAGTGGCCCACCTGGTACAGCCCAGCCAGGCAGATGCCCGGTAGGTCCTGGGCCGCAGAGCCAGGCAGCTGGAAGGTGCCATCTATAGCCAGGCTGCCTGGGTCAAACCCTAGCTGTGTCATAATCTTGCTCTCTGATCTTGGGAGAGTGCTTTAGTCTCTCTGAGCTTCAGTTTCCTTGCGAATAAAATGATAGTTTTACAGGGGTTGCTGTACTGATTAAATTAGAGGTAATTCTTGTGTAGCTCATTCTTGGTGCCAGAAATTTGTACCATTATGGTTTTCATTTTAAACTTCTCATACTTTTATTCGTTCAAATGAACTAGCTTGTATCCATTGTCCAATGTGTGCCAGACACTGTTCTCAGTGCAGGGAATGCATCCGTAAACATTACAGACAAAATCCCTGACCTCGTGGAATTCCCATTCAAATGCAGGGGTCAGCAGACCATAGCCTGGGAGGCCCCACAGTCTGAGTTTTTGTGGCCTGTGATGTAAGAATGTTTGTTTTTTTAATCCTCACCTCCTCAGGTGAGGATTGTTTCCCCCCATTGGTTTTGAGAGAGAGTGGAAGGGAGGGGGAGAGACACAGAGAGAGAAACACCAATGTGAGAGAGGCACATCAATTGGTTGCCTCCTGTGTGGATCGAGCCTGCAACCAAAGTATGTGCCCTTGATCAGAATCGAACCAGAGACCCTTCAGTCCTCCGGCTGCAGCTCTAACCACTGAGCTAAGAATATCTTTTACATTTTTAAAGGTTAAAAAAAAGAATATGCAATAGTGACTGCATGTGGTCTACAAAACCTAAAATATTTACTGTCTAACCTTTATAGAAGGTAAATAAATAAGTAAAAAATATTTGCTTTCCTGACCATAGTAAAATCTAATAGGAAACAGAGAAGATAACAAATAATTGTAACAAATAAGTTACATAGTAAAGTAGAGGTGAGAAGTGCTCTGGAAAAAAATTGAGGGGGTAGGGCAGAGGTGGGCAAACTTTTTAACTCGAGGGCCACAATGGGTTCTTAAACTGGACCGGAGGGCCGGAACAAAAGCATGGATGGAGTGTTTGTGTAAACTAATATAAATTCAAAGTAAACATCATTACATAAAAGGGTACGGTCTTTTTTTTTTTTTTTTAGTTTTAGTTTGCCCATGGCTGGGGTAGGGGATAGAGGAAGATGGTAGGGGGGGGATTGCAATTTTGAAAAATGTGATCAAGGTGAGCTGTGTTGAGAAGATACCATTTACTTTTCCTCATCAAAGGGAACAATATAGGTCCAAATCCACAGAGTTATTCTGAAAGGCACCTTCCACCCCCATTGGAAGATTATGTGGTTAAATGAGTTAAAGTATCTAAATTGCTTGAAACAGTGTCAGGCATGTATGTGCTACATTAGTACAGTAGGTCCTGGAATAATGCCATTGTTAAAATGTTGATAAGAAAAAGGAAAAATCACTTCCTGGCCAGGGCTACTGTCTGTGTGGATTTGGCACATTCTATCCTTGTCTATGTGGCTTTCCTATGGAGACTTAGGTTTCGTCCTACAACCTAAAATACTCAGGTGAGGCCTGGTTGGTGTGGCTCAGTGGTTGAACGTCGACGCATGAACCAGTCAGGAGGTCGGGGCTCAATTCCTGGTCAGAGCATATGCCTGGGTTTCAAGCCTGATCCCCAATAGGGGGCCTGCAGGAGGCAGCCAAACAGTGATTTTATCGTTGGTGTTTCTCTCCCTTCCTCTCTCAAGTCAATTAAAAAATAAGTAAATAAAGTGTGTGTATATATATACATATATATATATATATATATATATATATATATATATATATGTTCAAATGAGGTAAATTGGCATGCCTGCATTGTCCCAGGCTGAGGGAGTGTGCGTGGGTAGTGAGTGGCCCTGTAGTGGAAGGGTGTCCTGTCCAGGGTGGATCCCCTGAGCTGCCTGGATAGATTCCAGCCATCTATGACCCTGAACTGGAATAAGTGGGTGGAAAATAATGATCTGATTTGTTTTTATTAATTTTTCTTTTCTTTTTTTAAAAAAATATATTTTATTGATTTTTACAGAGGGGAAGGGAGAGGGACAGAGAGTCAGAAACATCGATGAGAGTAACATTGATCAGCTGCCTCCTGCACACTCCCCACTGGGTATGTGCCTGCAACCAAGGCACAGGCCCTTGACCGGAATCGAACATGGGACCTTTGAGTCCGCAGGCCGATGCCCTATCCACTAAGCCAAACCAGAACTTACTAATTTTTCTTAAATGTAATTAGAGCTCACATTTATTTCATCTTTTAATGTTAGAAGTGTTTTGAGTCTTTATTTAGAATTTGAGCAATGTTTTTGTGACCAGAAATGCTGTAGGAATTTAACTCTTGTTTGTATCAATTAGTCTGTGAAAACATTGGTTTCATTAC